AACCTGGACTTTGGAGTCAGACCTGCCTAAGTTCAAATTCCAGCTCTGCTATTTCCTAGCTGAATGACTTTGGGCGACTTACCTAAGCTCAATTTTCTTACCTATAAAGTGGAAATAATAAAAATAATAGACCAGGCACAGTGGCTCACACCTGTAATCCCAGCACTTTATGAGGCCGAGGCGGGCAGATCACGAGGTCACGAGATTGACACTATCCTGGCCAACATGGTGAAACCCTGTCTCTACTAAAAATACAAACATTAGCTGGGCATGGTGGCGTGTGCCTGTAGTCCCAGCTACTGGGGAGGCCCAGGCAGGAGAATCGCTTGAACCAGGGAGTGGGAGGTTTTCAGTGAGCCAAGATGGCACCACTGCACTCCTGCCTGGTGACAGAGCAAGACTCAGTCTCAAAAAATAAATAAAATAATAATAATAATAATAAATATTTCAGGGGAGAATTAGATGAGACGATTGTAAAATGCATAGCCCTAGCTGTGACCCAGAATATAGTAGGTGCTTGATAAGAACTTTGTCACCTCGTTAATAATGGTTATTTGTTCAGCCTGTGAACCAATGTGATTTTTTTTTAAGTGAAATCCACACAGCAAAATTTACCATTGTTACTGTTTTCAATGTCTGTTTTTTTTTTTTAATTCAGGTAAGTTTTATGTACTTTCTGATTCTTAAGTTGGAAAACAAGGTAACCTCTAATATGGGCTGTGAGGCCTTCCTCTGCCCAAGCAGCTGCAGATATGAACCCTGAATATAAAGGGATCTTAGGCTAGAAGGGATCTTGGGCAGAGCTGAATGGCTCTAAGCATTTGACCTCACCTTAGTTTCCTCCTGAGAAGAGTCAACAGAGTCCAGCATCTTCTTCCAAGGTCAGGAAAGGGCAAAGATTTGAAATTAGGCATCACTGGGTTCTCAGCTGGGCCTGCAAGGTCCCCTCCTCCCACTATGCAGAGCAAAGAGGAGGTTGCAGAAGAGAAGAGGATATGAGATTGGTTCTCTGCTCCTCCCTTTCTTTCCCTGCTTTCCCCACACCCACCGTCTCCCCCACAGCAGCCTTCTCCCCCACAGAGGCTGGGATAGAATGAGGGGGGCGGAGTTGGGGACTGAGGGATCAGAAGCCCCAGGATGCCCTGTATCTGAAGAAAGCTTTGGCCAGGGGCAGCTGTGCTGGCTCATGCTCTCCTCCTTCTGCTGCTGCCATCCTCCAGCAAGATGCTAGGGTCTCTGGGGCTTTGGGCATTACTTCCCACAGCTGTGGAAGGTAAGCGTCTACAGGGAGGGGAAGGGTCTTTCCATCCATCCCGTGAGGGAAAGGGGCGCTTGAAGCAAGAGCCACCCCTTTGGAAGAGTGGTGAGTGGGCTGGGTGAGTGAGGGTGAAGGACAGAGCCATGTGTCCCCATGGCGGGGCTCAGGTTCCAGCCCTCTGCTGACCCTGCTTCCTCCTGTGGCTTTACCATACTGACGCTGGGATGTGGAACATGTTTTGTCTGTTCTTTTGGCTACTTTTTTGCCTCTGCATTCACTCGTATCTCGAATCCTTTCCTTTCCCCACCCTGGGCCTCAGCACCCCCAAACAGGCGAACTTGTGTGTTCTTTGAGGCCCCTGGAGTGCAGGGAAGCACAAAGACACTGGGAGAGCTGCTAGATACAGGCCCAGAGCTCCCTAGAGCTATCCGCTGCCTCTATAGCCGCTGCTGCTTTGGGATCTGGAACCTGACCCAAGACCGGGCACAGGTGGAAATGCAAGGTGAATGGCAAAGTATATGGCAGGTGATAGCTAGGGTGGGAGACAGACACATCCTGGGGTGTGGGTGGCAACCAAGGGGGAAGGGGAGAAATAGAACATGTGGTGGGAAAGAAAAGCCCATGAGAGATGGAAGGGATGCCTCTGATAGAGAAGGGATTTATCCTCTGTTTCCACACGCCATTGTGCTTTCTCCCTTTTCCCCCTTTCTCTCCTCTTCCCCTAATCCCACCCCATCAGGATGCCGAGACAGTGATGAGCCAGGCTGTGAGTCCCTCCACTGTGACCCAAGTCCCCGAGCCCACCCCAGCCCTGGCTACACTCTCTTCACCTGCTCCTGTGGCACTGACTTCTGCAATGCCAATTACAGCCATCTGCCTCCTCCAGGGAGCCCTGGGACTCCTGGCTCCCAGGGTCCCCAGGCTGCCCCAGGTAGCCACCCAAGGGTACTGAAGGCTGGTGGAGGCTGGGCCCAGGTTAGGATGAGCGGTGGAACCAGGGCCAGTTCTCACCCTACTCCCACCCCACACTTTCCTCCTCCTGGCCTTGGGAAGTTGGTTGCCCTGGTGACTGGGAGATAAGGGGTCTTGTGACCAGGGTGGGGGTGGGTTGAGAAGCAAGCTCTCAGGAGGGGAACAGCAGAGAGCAGGTTTGGGTCAGTGCTTGCCAGCCTGCATTCTTGCCTTGATGTCCAGGTGAGTCCATCTGGATGGCACTGATGCTGCTGGGGCTGTTCCTCCTCCTCCTGCTGCTGCTGGGCAGCATCATCTTGGGTACTAATCCACCCCATCCCTCCCTTGTGACCCCAAGACATTGTCCCCAGAGCTCTGATCCCTCTCCAGGCACCCCTGACCCCATGGTCTTGGGATCTCTATAGCCTGATTCCCAGACTCCCATGACCTCTCACAAAGCTCCCTTTCCATAGAGTCCCTTTTCCTGTCCCCATGCATGTGCACCCTGAACCTAAGGCTCTTCTCTGTTCCAGCCCTGCTACAGCGAAAGAACTACAGAGTGCGAAGTGAACCAGTGCCAAAGCCAGGGCCAGACTTGGGCAGGGACTGGAGTGTGGAGCTGCAGGAGCTGCCCGAGCTGTGCTTCTCCCAGGTGCCCCAGGGAGGGAGAAAAGGGATCCTCTGGGCACTCCTGGAGGTTGTGCTGGGGAGGAAGCCTGGCCCTATTATAGCTCAGAGGCCCACACTCAGCACAGTGTCCCTACCAGGTAATCCGGGAAGGAGGTCATGCAGTGGTTTGGGCCGGGCAGCTGCAAGGCAAACTGGTTGCCATCAAGGCCTTTCCACCGAGGTCTGTGGCTCAGTTCCAAGCTGAGAGAGCATTGTACGAACTTCCAGGCCTACAGCACGACCACATTGTCCGATTTATCACCGCCAGCTGGGGGGGCCCTGGCCCCATGCTCTCTGGGCCCCTGCTGGTACTGGAACTGCATCCCAAGGTGAGCACCAAGGAGTATATATGTGTGTGTGTGCCTGTGTGTATGTATGGAGGTGGGGGCTACATGGCAGCTGGGCCTTGTTGATGCTTCTGCTTTCGATTTTCTCTTTTCTAAGACATTAAAAATGGCCAGGTGAGGTGGCCCATGCCTGTTATCCCAGGACTTTGAGAGGCCAAGGTGGGTGGATCGCCTAAGCCCAGGAGCTCAAGACTAGCCTAGGCAACATGAGGAAACCCTATCACTGCAAAATTAGCTCAGCATGGCAGTGCACACCTATAGTCCCAGCTACTCAGGGGGCTGAGGTGGAAAGATCGCTTGAGCATAGGAGGTTGAGGCTGCAGTGAGCCGTGAGCATCCCACTGCACTCCAGCCTGGGAGACAGAGTGAGACCATCTCAAAAAATAATAACAAGCTGGGCACGGTGGCACACGCCTGTAATCCCAGCACTTTGGGAGGCCAACTTGGGAGGATTGCTTGAACCCAGGAATTCAGGGATTCAAGAACAGTCTGGGCAACACTGTGAAACCCCACCTCTACAAAAAAGAAAAAAAATTGGCTGGGTGTGATGGCATGTGCCTGCGGTCCCAGCTACTTGGGAGGCTGAGGTGGAAGGAGTACCTGAGCCTGGGAAGGTCAAGACTGGCAGTGGGCCAAGATTGTGCCACTGCACTCCAGCCTAGGTGACAGAGTAAGCCCCTGTCTCAAAATAATAATAATTTTTATTTATTTTTATTTTTTATTACAAAAATAATACATGTTTATATATTTATTTTATTTTATTTTATTTTATTTTATTTCCCCTGACCTCATATGATCTGCCCGTCTCGGCCCTCCCAAAGTGCGGGATTAAAGCGTGAGCCACCGTGCCCGGCCAAACATTTTATTTTTTTTTTTTTTTTGGCTGGGCACAGTGGCTCATCGCTGTAATCCAGCACTTGTTGGGGCTGAGATGGGTGGGATCACTATTGGAGGTCAGAGGATATCGGAAACCAGCCCTGGCAACCATGTGAAACCCTGTCTCTACTAATGCAAAAATTAGCCAGGCGTGGTGGCAGGCACCTTCGTATTCCAGCTAAACGTGGTGAGGCTTAGGGAGGGGAATTGCTTGAACCCAGAGGCAGAGGTGCAGTGAGCCAAGCTAAGCCACTGCACTCCAGTCTGGGCAACAGAGCAAGGCTCTGCCCCCCTCCACA